GGATGCCGCCCCGCAGGTGCTGCGGTCAGGGCTGACGCGCGCACGCGTCCGACAGGAGGGGAAGGCCTGCAGCGTAAACGGCAACGCTGCCCTAGCGTCCGCTCCGAGACCACCAGCCGGCGGGCGCAAGGAGAGGCGAGGGCGGCTGCCAGAAGGCTCCCGGGCAGGGCAGGAGGCCGAGCGCTCACAGAGACGGCGCAAGGCGACAGGGAAGCTGGGGCTCCAGTGAAGGTCAAGAAGGGAGCAGGGCCCAGGCACGTTTTTCTGACCGGCATGTGCCCTCTGTCCCCCCAACCCCAACCGTCTGCCACATGCAAGCCAAGCTCTGCCCCCCTCTCCCCCTTCCCTCCAGCCCCAGCCTGTCTCACCTTGTCCTCATGAGCAGCAGCTGTGGAAGGTGTGGTGCAGCCGGGGGCCCCAGCAGGTCCTCGCTCCACCTTCGCCCGCCCTTGATTTGGGGGTTGCATGTCATTGTAGCCAGCACACCAGGGCCTGCTCATAGGCACTCTTCCAAGGCAGAGGTTGCAGAGACCTGCAGTGGTCCTTCTTATTTCCCTGGGGCACACTCTCCATCAAGTCATTCCTTGGCCCTGTTTCTCCTACCATCCTTTCTCTGAGCTCAGCACCCTGCTCTTACTTACTTCAGTTGCAAGGACATTAACTATGTCTTTCTCATACCTACCCACACTCTGGGCCATGTCACTGTATGGATAACTATAAAATTTCCTCAGCCGTATTAATGAGCCTGAACTGATCTTATGCAAGTTTGAAACCCTTGTTTGTTTATGATTCATACAGGCCCAACGCGGTACGTTTGTTTTAATGGCTTAGACTCTGCCACAGCTAACTGCGTCTAATACCAGATCACATCTCCTTACCTTTTGCTATGAGACCAGGTAGCATCCAAGAAACTTCCCCAGCCCACGGCTGTTAAGGCATAGAGTTGCTTTACTAATAAAGAACATTTTGTTCCAACTGTTTATTCCGACATTTGAATTAAATCAGTGTACCATTTTAAGAACAAGTTGGAACTAGTTCTGAATTTTAAAAAGCATAAACAACAGTTCACATCTTCACCCCTGCAGACAGCACTGACTAGCAGCAGTTGGCAAAGCATTTCACAGCTCTTCTTGAAGTTTGTGGCCAGATTCATCTGATGGCATCGCCACGGCTGCCTCTAGACCAAGCATTCAGGCCCACAGGCGAGCTCCCATGCTTCTCTCCTTCAGGGCTCTTACTCTTCTTTGAAACTCAGCTTGCTCTTCACCTTCCTGGCCATGTAAGTGGCTGTGAGAACAGAGCAGGTTACAGTGAAAAGGCACAGGGCAGAAAAGTTATGAGCTAAGTCACCCTGAAGTTTAGAATAGATCTGCCGCCTGGACTCGTAATCCAACACCACTGCCTCAATCTGTGCCAGAGTGCAGAGGACCAGGAACACATGAAAAATCTGATGGCCTTGCCCAAAAAAGTGACATTTCCCAGGGAACCACTTCTCTGGGTAAGGGTGCGAGAAGAAAAAGGCACCAATGAGGAAAAACAGCACCTGGCATTTGTGATACAATAGGGCTGGGTCAGCGTGCTCAGAGGCCTGGGCAGTATAGATTCGGTGAATCACAGGGCTAATGTCGAGCATGTAAGCCAGACCAGAGGGCATTTCCTGACAGAGCCTGCTCAGGAAGTGAGTGGACTGGTGGTACTGATACTTAGCGTAACAGGAGCCCGCACAGGACAGCCACGCTAACAGGACAGCCACCGGCATGTAAAACCCCTGGATCTTTTCGTGCCAGCTTGGCTCAATGGCATAATAGTAATGCACTAGGGCGCTGCCATACTGATAAATGGCTACTCCCACGTAGTCCATGAAGAAGAAGCTGTAGTGCCAGAACTCCGATTTGGCCTGCAGAAGATGAGCGAGGGTGCTGAACGTCAGGTACGTGATGGACGCCACAATGATGATGAGGAGGGGCTGGGCATGAGGGTCCTGCCCAAAATCCACCCGCTGCGAAAGCTGCTGGAACCGCAGCAGCAGAATCAACGTCGCCACCAGATGGGTCCAGACGTTGATGGCCTCATTGTGCTGCTGAAAGAGCGTTGGCATGGTGGGCTTGGTAGCCAGTGTGGATGTAGGGCTTCCAGAAGACCTTCGGCACCTCTGAACTGCTCACGGTGGAGGGAGACAGCGGGGCCAGCAGCTGAGGGACCTGCCGCACGTTAATGAAAAGGCGGCTAAGCTTTTCAGTGATGGCAGTTGCCATGATGCAGCCAAACTCTGATTCACTGCCAAGCAGAACGCCCTTTGGGACAAACAGAAAGTTTTACCGTGGTGTATTAGGGACTTGACCAAAATTGAGGGGAGGCTGAACGTTATTGGCTTTTTAAGACATGTAAAGTCACGCATGAGAAGAGAATGGCCTCATTATATAATATCTGAAATAAATGAATCCGCAAAAATAGCCACATTAAAGGGGCTGAAATGAGATTTAAGAACCCCTGCTAGAGTACCCCATACTGTACAAGGGACAGTCTGGAAGGGCATAAGGTAGAGGACGCAAGTAAGGGGTTAACTGATACAACACTTCAGAGGCTATAGCAATTCCTAGTTGGCCTCAGCTCACGCTTTCCTGGCGGTTTGTGAGGTTTGAGACCCACAGCATCCTGAACGAACTTCCAGCTCAAGAAGCAGCCCAAGTTTTCCCTTTTAAATTGATTGCAGCGTCTGTCTTCACAAGCACTTAGTGTGTAACCTCCCTGCAAGCAGTTAAATAGGTGACCTCTTCTGCCTGCAAAGGGGCCGCACTTTAGAATGTAAATAACTGTAACATCACTAACAGAACATGTAAATAAGTTCCATGTTTTGAGTTTTTATTGCCTTTTTTCCCAGTCCTATTTTCCATGTGGTTTTGTACAAAACCTTTTAAGCTTGAGTGACTATCCTATTGCATCACTGAGGTTTAGAAACAGCATAATCTCTGAAAGCAAAATTTTCCATGTTTACATTTTTGAAGCTGCTGTCCTTGCAGAGACAAAGCAGACATTGCCAGCTTTTCCTGGTTTTGTAAAGCTGCCTTAGAAACCCATTGAAAAGAACATGCTTGGGACTAGGTCTTTTTTCACTCTTTACCTATCTAGGCTAACCAAATTTGCTCAACAAGTTTTAGAGACAACAACAGCCAGACTCCCTCCAATTCCACTGCTGTTTACAGTCTTAATTCTTGGCAAGTTCAGTCATTTCAGGACATCTCAGATAGGAAAAGCTCTCCAAAGTTTGGAAATAGTAGTAGGAGGGGATGGGACTATTAAAAAAAAAAATCCATAATTTCCTCATCAAAATGGGGTAGATAGCTACGTAACTTATGCCTGTCTGAAGCTGAGGAGCACAGAAGATAAAAATAGGTTGCCTGCTGCTCAGAGTCCCTTGAGCCCTCTTTTCCTGCCCCATCTGCCCACCCAGCCTGGTTAAAAAGGTCCCCACAAGAAAACCAGTGCAATTGGCCTGACTGGGGGCATCACTTCGCAGACTGCGATCTGCATCCCTGCTCGGCCTGCTAGGCCCTACTGTAACACTGAACTACACGCAGGCTGCCAGTGAAAAATTAACTTCCTAGACCTCTTCCGGACTTGCAAGGACTCCGTTGAACTGAAACAACCCTGACTCCTGCTGGGGAAGATGTGGGCAAGAGCAGAGCTTCCTAGGTAAGGCTATTTAGATCAAAACCTTTGGGGGGGGGGGGGGGGGGAGTTTTGAAGAAAAAAGAAAGCCACCCGCTGCATGGAGCACTTACCTTCACGCCAGTCACCGAGCCAGGGCTGCCCCCGAGGAAAGCTGCGGTACGTGGGAAGGGGGCTCGGGTGCAGACCGTGTGGCAGCAAGAAGCCAAATTCCTGCGGGAAAGATGCCCCCAGCTTCTGTCGAGGGAGATGCTGTGACAAAACCAACGGGGAAAAAGTCTGTATTCAAAGCAGCCAAACACGAGACAGGATACAGATTGGTATTTACGTCAGTTAGTCCCAAACTTGTTTGGGCAGGACTTAATCTGTGAGGCTCTTACAAAATTCAGTTACAAACATCCTGCGCTGCATTGGGAATCCTTAATCTCACTTGTACTCTGAATAACAGCATCCACATACCTGTAAGACGTCAATAACGTTGCCTCAAGCGCCTGTTATTTCCTACAGAGTACTTCCTTTCTCAAGTAGCATCCACCCATCCTACACCCTGCTGAATTTTCCTTAATGAGACACTCTGACTCCCTCTCCAGCTGTTTACATGCATATTTGCTCCTATGCAGACCACTAATTATCCTTCTAAAGCACAAATATGTGTTTTATTTTTAATTACGTTCAGCTCTTTCTGAATTTGGCCCAGGCTCACCAAACACAGGCTATCTGCGAATGCAGTTCGTACGCCGTGGCTGGGCGCCAGGCCTGGCCAGCCTCTCCTTCCTCCCACAGCAGCAATTTTATCAGACTTGCAGAAATCTTTTATGGGGCAGCCAGGGAGCGATCCCTCCTCCTGCGAACTTGCTTCCTGAAGGTGCCTGGGGTATTTCGGGATTCAGATGCATGCTGGA